CCCCCTCCCTCCCCCCCCCCCCCATTATTCTGAAGCAAATCTCAGGCATGTATCATTTTATTCATAAATATTTCTGAAAGTATCTCTAAGAGATAAGGATTCACTTATTAAAGATAACCACCATGCTACTATAATACTTCTAAAATTTCAATAATTTTATCATATCAAACATCCAGTTAGTATTCAAATTTCCATTTCTCTTACATGTCATAAATTTTTTAAAGTTTTCTCTTTTTAGTTTAAATAAGAATTGAAATAAGGTCCACGCGTTGCATCTGGCTAATTTGTTTCTTAAATACTTCCTCCCCACACACTTTTTTTTAATTTTTTATTTTGAAGTAATTATAGATTCACAGTAAGTTATCAGAATGGTACAGAGTTACCCTGTACATTTCACCCAGTTTCCTGTAATGTTAGGCCATCAATATAAAAATGTGCTACATCCCAAGTGCTCAGTAGCTAGATGTGGCTAGCAGTTACCTATTGAACAGTGCAGTTCTACAGTTTTTATCATATTCCAGTCTGGCTTTTTTTTTTTTTTTTTTTTTTTTTTTTGGCAAGACTGCTTCATATGCATTAGTGTATTCTTCCACCATCCAGAGGTACATGATGCCTTATTTTCTCTTTTTTTTGCATGTGAATTTAGCAGCTGTAAATGATCAATAGCTAGGGGTTGCAATGTGATAATTGCCATTTCTATCATTCCTTCTTTATTTATTAGCTGGAGTACATCTATGAAAAAGAAATTTTTCACTTATCCACTATTTCGGTACCCAGTACACCATTCACATAAGATAGGCAAGGTAAAAGTTTCTACTTCACTAATTTTTGGAATAACAAGTTATTCACTAGCATCCTCCAACAGAGACTAGTTGTTCTTTTTTTTTTCTTTTTTTGGTTACATTTCTGTCTTCTCTACTAGACTCTGAGTGGGGAAGGCAGATATTTGGTCTTGCTCACCTCCAAGACCCTAGAGTCTAGCAAAGTGTCTGCTGTGCAGTGGATACTGATAAGTGTTTTTGAAATGAGTTTAAAAGATACATGAACAGAAAGGAACAGCAAACCAAATGAATTACTACCTAATAGCACAAACTTGATAAAATGGTACTGCTTTTGTATGTTCATCACTTAAAGAAAAGATCTCTGTGGAGACACAGCCAAAGAAATGTCAAGGGTTTACATTATTTCAGAAAAGAGGATATAGGAGATTACAAAAAGGGAAGAGAACATGAGGAAAGACCAGAGGTCATTGCAAAAGAAATGACAAGGAAACTGCCAGTTTCTCCTTTAGCCATTCCCCTTTCTATAATTCAAAATATTAAATTAGCTTTTGTGGTAGAGTGAAATTTAATGGTGTTATATGTTTAAATGTTCTATCTTTGAATAAACAGTCAAAACACTCTGGTGTGTACGTAGAAGAGCATTTGTTGAGAAGGCTGGGCATTTTAAATTGAATGCATTATATGATACAGTGAAATGAGGCAGAATTTCTGCAAAAGATGTAATTTTGTTTTAGTACCAGAAACCAAAGAAGATAAATTATTGGACAAGTGCACCAGGAGTCAGGAGACTAAGATTCTTGTCATATTCTTCCATAAGTTAGATTGTGATTGCTACTTTGTTCCTCAGCTGGAAGATGAGGAAATTGGTCCATATAATTGCCATGGTCTCTTCCAGCCAGTATGTTGTTTAAAATACTGCTTTACTATCCCTGGTTACTGGGTTTGGTTGCTTGCTACCAGTGGTAAAATGTTTGTACTTATCATTCTCAGTCATTACTCAGGAATCTCATGACAAGTAACATGACTTGGGGAGACGGTTATGCTAGGGTTATGGATAACCAGAATGGAGTTAATTAATCTCCACTTGGCTAGTGCACTTGCTTAAATACCTACCTAACTCCTTCCTTTGACTTAACGGGACTTCCAGCCCATTCATAACTGCGTTTCATACATTAGTTGCACTGGTCCTCCATCAAGCACAACTTAGATTCATTCATCAAACATTTCAACAGCTCTTTTTCAAAACCCTAAAATCCTTTGCTTCATTATCTTTTTGTTGCTACAATCTACAAAACTCCAGAACTTGGAGGATCTAACTAAATATTTTCTCTTATCCAGACAACAACATAGCTGACTGATACAGCACCTATTCAAGATGACCAACCTCCAGCCTTCCATTGCTAACACATCACTAGGTTAATTTACCTCCAAAATATAGCTACCATAGTTAGAAGAGATCATTTCACCTAACCTTTCTTCATCTAGTCTTGCCACCCTACAATAATGCAATCTCTACATTCAGCCAGACTAATCTATGTCATCATATGTATGTGTGACTGTTTGATTAATGTCAATCACCCTCACTAAACCATGTACTCCAAGAAGCTTTTTTTTTTTTTTTTTTTGGAGGATGGGGTATCATTTTTATACCCAGCACCTTATAAAGTGCGTAGTACATGCTAGACACTGAATTTATAAAGGAACATAAGAATCAAGGAAGAGAGGAGGGAAGGAGGAAGGAAAAAACCAGTAAACTAATATTAACCTTTTTCATTCTTCTCTAGTCTATTGAGACCCAGGGCAGGGAAAGAACGAATAAAGAGTGATGTTTCTTTCTTACTTGCAGGATTTCTCTGTTTATTCCCAACCAAGCATCCTTTTTGTAAAGAGCTACTTCTATGCGCAGTGTTTTTACTTGTAGTCCAGCCCAATGCTTTCACGAGCTACTCTTGGTATCTTTAAGAAAAATCTTTTTCACAAAAAAACTCTTTCCTTAAAGAACATCATCACTCCTGAGTGTTGATGAGAGAACAATTTAGCACCCCGTTTTCCTCAGAGTTTGGTCACATTTATGAAGTAGCCTTTTCATCGTTGTAATGGAAGGGCTGTCTAGTTAGCAATGCTCTTGTTGCTGTGGACAAAAAGAAGAAAGGAAAAGTCTTGAAACTTTGTCTCTCTATTGGATCTTCTGAACTTAATTAGGAATAGAGAAAGGAAACAAAATCAGTACAAACTCCATCAAGATATAGTCGTTGACAGATTTTGTATTTGTGGCCTTTTGTTTTACTTTGTCATGTTTCCAGGATTACAAATTGTCTTGCTCTTTATGGATATCTTGATTCAATTGTTGTTTATGTAGAATATTTGGTATCAAAATGGGTCACTTGTAATCATAAACTTATTCCCCATGTATTTGAAGTATCACTTTTTAAAAATCATCTGCTTACTATCCATTGTAAATTATTAATGCCCTTGGTTGTTGCTTTTTATGGGAATGCAAATCCCATTACAGTGTCAAAAGTTGCAACTGTAATCAAATATTGTTTATTTTTATTTTTATTTTCTATAAATCAGGTTGTTTATAAAAGAAGTAATTTATATTTTCTTTGTATATCATTTTATTTTTTATTTTAATTTATCATTATACAACGTAGTTGATTTTTGTGTCCTTTTACCAATATTTTCTTTGTATATCATTTTAGACTAACGATAAAATTTTGTAGTAAAATATCATGTTTTGTACTCTTTTCTTATAGGAAAAATATATAGTCAGTCTCAATTGCTGTGATGGAGAGGTATATGGTTTTGCTGTAGGTAAAATTCCAAGATAGTCCACACAGGTCATTGGGGACTACAGTCTCACTCCTCAAAGCAATTTTCACACCCATGAGAGTGGATCTAAGTTCCCCAAACCAGCTGGGCAGCACAACAACTACAACGGAATGGCTCTCAAGACTAATTAATAAAATAATGCTCCATATGCAGTGAAGTGTTATAAATAATTAAAGCTCAAATGTGCCTTAGCAAATATAAACTGACCAATTTTTCTATCTTTTGAATACATTATCCTGGCTTTTACAGTTCCTCATTACTTGCCTCACTAAATGGACTCATTTTCAATTAGTGTGTAGTATTCTGATCCAGATAGATTTTAAAAACTGACTTCCTTTGTTTTGCTTGAGAAGTCACAAAAGTGGTATTTATTACTTGTCCGCTTCTGTGATTAACCTAGAGAGAGTTTTAAAGGAGCAAATCATAGTGGGAATTTCTAAAGAGAACTGCAATAAACCATGAATTTATTTAATTCCCTTCCTCCTACCCCAAATCCAAATGGTGATTAGGTCTGGATTATAAGAACGCTATAGGT